TCTTCAAGGCAGCTACTGTTAAAGGATCACGTGGCCAGTCCGGGTCTTTAGCCTTTCTATAACCCTTTAACAGTGCCCTATAAACCCTCTTAACTCTATATTCCTTGGAAGGATCTGCAAGCTGGGCCTCTAGGTGCGCCCTTGAAACTGCTGCTAGAACATCCATACAACCTGAAAACGACTGGGTTAAATCTAGCCAAACAATGAAGGATACTAACGTATCAACCTCAGATGAAAGCGCCCTCAAATCCATAACTTCACAGAAATCCCTATACACATCCCACGCCTTGTCTAGCCGCTTATTTCAACTATTTGACACCGCTTTTCTACCCAAAGCCTGCACTTTAGCCAACAGAATCCTTATTAACCTACTCTTGCTGCCACAAACTGCCAACTCAGGTTTCTCCATGGTTCCACTTCTCCTGAAATCCCTTTGGTAAATGATACTTGGACTGGAGGCAGGAGCAACATATCTATTGTCATATTCATTAACATTGGCCACCACTCCGCTGACACCCATCTTGGGACGATTATGGTTGCCACAGCTTTTTCTTCTCTTATGTGTTGAAGGATACGATGGATTAGAGCTAGTGGGGGACAAACATAATTGTTCTCTCTGGATCAGCTCTGAGTAAAGCAGTTTACTCCCTCTGAGTTCGGGCAATAAAACCTGCTGTTGAATCGCTCCATTTTGGTATTCTGATTGTCTGCCATTCGATTGATAATATGAGGACCCCACCTGTCTTCCAACATCATGAAAACTAACTGATTTAGACACCAATCGTTTGGGTCTACATATCTGGTCAGGAAGTCTGCCGGGTTTAACTCTGAGGGCACCCAAAAAACCTCACTGATCCAAATGTCAAACTCGTCCAACAACTCCCACAACCTTCTTAGTAAATCCTTTTGCCAAGATAAGCTTCCCCCTTTTAAAACTGTCCCTATTGCTCCTCGATTGTCTATGTAGGTCGATCCAGAAATGCTGGAGCATTCTTGCAAAGGATCTTATTCCCAGAATTACAGCCTCTGCCTCTAGCCTTGTGATCTCCCTGTGCGATCTTTTTGAACTCCAATTCCCGAATGCATGAAGTTCCCTGAAAACCGCAGACCACCCGATTGTTGATGCATCTACGAAGATCTGCTTTACTTTCAATGGTTTCCAAGCAAGACGGCCATTCTGTTTCTTTAAATTTTGGACCACCCATTTGGCATCCTCCTTAGCTTGCTTTGTCAACTCCACTAACAAATCCCATTGCCAACAACCCCTGTTTGCTGCATCTATTATCATGTAAAACTCCAGACATCGAACTTTGGCATGAGCAAAGGCTCTGCTTAAAGACTGCATTTTTCCTGCTATTGCTGCCAAGTTGGTGCTGATATCTTCTCTTTCTTTATAAGCTCTGATATCAACGCTCTTACCTCTAAGATCTTTGAATCTGGAACTATTACTTGTGCTTTCACTGTATCGATTATTAACCCAAAAAACTTTACCTGCTGCGACGGTTCCCACTGCCTCTTTGACACCTCTCTTACCAACCCACATCTCTCTAGATCTTTTTCTATCACCTGGTCCCTTATCATTATCAAGGTATCTAACGAAGGATGCGCAACCCAAAAATTGTCTAAATAATTTCCATAGAACAGCCCTAGTGATCTCCAATGTCCTACAATCGCTCTTATTATCTTGGAGAAGATCCATATAGCTTGCGACAACCCAAAAGGGAGAACTTTGTAATAATACCAGCTCCCCAATATTCAGAACCCAAGAAACCGTTGTGCGCTCTTCTCCATCATCACATGATGGTAACCATCTATCAGGTCCCATGTAATCACATACCAGCCTATACCTACTGTACGCAGAAAACCTCCAAGACCCTCCAACTTCACTTTCTTTTCAGGTAAGGTGGTGTTCAAATGCTTTAAGTCTATGACCATTCTTCATTTTTTGGGCCCCTTTTTGGGCACCAAAAAGACAGGACTCACTTTCAGAAGGAACGTAGGTCTCTCCACTTGATTTCCTAATGCCTTTATTGCTGAGGATGCTAACAAACGATCCAACTCTCTTTGTACCCATTCCTCTTGGTCTCTTGATAATGCGTACTGTTTTGGGGTTTGTTGTGCTGCAAGTAAAAGAACCCCCCTTGAAAACAATAGAACCCCATTCTTTAACCAACTTATTACTACCAGTGATGGCCCTATTTTGTCTTGCCAATAACTCAAAGCTTCTGCTGACTGCATCCTTCCCACCACTGACACCTGACTTCCTGCCTTCCCCAGACCTGACACTAGACATTCTTCTGAAAATGGGGTCTGAGTGTAGTTAGTCTCCATTCTTTGGCTTGGTAGGGGCTCTAGAACCTGCGGAGGGGCAGCTGGAGGTGATGTGTCCAATGCCTCCACAGTTGAAGCAGTTAAAAACTCCTTTATGTTCTGGGAACCTGAAGGCTCCTTTGTCATGAAAGGATTGAAAGTTTCTATCATACCTCCTTTTACCCTTATAACTTTCATCTCTTTCTGAATCAGACGAAGGTGAGGAATATCTTTTTCTCTTGTGCCTATATGACTTACCAGACTTATTTGACTATAATAGCGTGAGGCCGCACCTGATTGGCTAAATAATGGAATACGATCCTTGTATTTTTCTATCATTTTGTCATTACTCCCAACTATCTGTAATGCTGTACCCCAACCCCTGTTATCAGCTAACCTTAGTGTAGCTGCTCAGGCTTCAATTTCATTTCTAATACTATTAAGATCCTTTTTAATAACCGTTGGTACTACCTTTATTGCTTTGTCCAAACGTTTGCCGATTTTCGCCAAGAAATCATACTCATGCTGATCACATGGCTTCGACAAACTAACCTTAGGCCATGTTTCATCTAATAAATCACACTCCTCTATTTCCCTATATAAAGCAGAAAAATTTCTTTCTATTTTCATTTCAATTTTACCCATCGCCGACAGAAACATATCAACTGTTATTTGTTCTGCCTTCTCTCTTCCTCGGGAACGACCTACTAACTCGTCTTTAATTCTATTGTCTGCTTCCTGCGAATATGCACGCACGTCATCCACCTCAAGGTCAGCATCCCTTTCATCATTCCAATCCCTTTCATTAGCATCAAATCTGGGTACTTCAATAATGTCATCCAAATCTTCTTCATCCTCTACTCCACTCTTGTCTGTAGCCTTTCCTTTATTCTTCCCGAAATATGCCTGGAGCCTATCGCTCAAGTCCTCCTTATTCCTTACACTAGATAAGCCGCAAGACATACACAAGTCTTTTAATTCATTTAACGTCAACTTAGACCAGCTTATACCCGACATATGGTAATACCAAAATTTTATCGCAGAGGAAATTGAGACTGAATTTTATTTATAATAGTTTATTTCTATTTTAATATAGTTAGATAATACAGTAGTAAATGATAGAGCCAGCCTTAACACAAGGCGAGCGATAGCAAAAAGAAAGATAATCTACTAACAACTTCAAAAATATTTAAATAACCATTTACTGGACAAAGGCGTCTCACGCCTACATAGGAAACCCATACTCCTTACTATGACAACAATCACTTACCGCAAACTAATAATCATAATATCATCATATGCAATCAAGTCACTACATCACGAAAAAACCTGCTTAGAACTAGCGAACTATCAACTAATTACAACTATTCCATAAAAGGCTAAACAATAAATTTCCACGTGACCTGAGTCCTCTGATCTCGCAATAATGATCGCTCTGTCACTTCGTTGACAAGCTTTTCAGAATATTGATGATTGCATTAAAGAATTTCAACTTAGTATCATAAAATATGAGAATATAATTGAGTGGATCTCTTTCAATAAATTAGATAATATTCAAAAGAATAGTGATGAATTTTTAGCAATTTGGTTAGATGGCATACGAATAAGTTTTAAGGATGAGAATAAATGTTGGAATGATAAAGATAAATACACACAATCACGTACGCCACCATGTATAATTGACCTTAAAATATTGCATAGTTCTCGGAATTTAATGGATCTATTGGAAGAGGTAAGATAAAACTAAATTGATTTTCTATATTTTGTGTTTTTATTTTATATATTTATAAATTAAATATACCCATATAATAAGTTTAAGAACCATATAAAGAATAGCCAATCTAAAGTATATGGGCTAACTCAAAACATAGATACTAATGAATATATGTTGGTATTTGATAAATTTCATTTTGAAAGAAGTAAGCGGAATGGAACATGTGCACAATGTAATCTATATAATACATCTAAAGCTTGGTGCCAGAGATGTGATCCTCAAAGAACAGTTCAAGGATGGACAAGTGGAAATAAGATTATTGATGATTGCATTAAAGAATTTCAACTTAATACCACAAAATATTGGAATGTGGTTGAGTGGATCTCTTTCAGTAAATTAGATAGTATTCAAAAGAATGGTGATGAATTTTTAGCAATTTGGTTAGATGGCATACGAATAAATTTTGAGGATGAGTATGAAGATAAATACACACAACCACATACGCCACCATGTATAATTAACCTTAAAACATTACATAGTTCTCAGAATTTAGTGGATCTATTAGAAGAGGTAAGGCAAAATCTACACTGATTTACAATATTTTATATATTATTACTTTTATATATTTATAAATTAAATTTACCCATATAATAAGTTTAAGAACCATATAAAGAATAACAAACTTAAAGTATATGGGCTAACTCAAAACATTGCTACTAATGAATATATGTTGGTATTTGATAAATTTTATTCTGAAAGAAGATGGCTAAATGGAACTTGTGCACAATGTAATCGATATAATACATCTGAAGCTTGGTGCCAGACATGTGACCCTCAGAGAGCGGCTCAAGGATGGACAAGTGGAAATAAGATTATTGATGATTGCATTAAAGAATTTCAGCTCAAAGTAACAGAGTATGAGAACGTAATTGAGTGGATTCCTTTTAATAAATTAAATAATATTCAAAATAATGGTGATAACTTTTTCGCAACTTGGTTAGATGGAGTACGAATAATTTTTGAGGATAAGAATAAACGTTGGAAAGATAAATACACACAAACACGTACGCCACCATGTATAATTGACCTTAAAATATTGCATAGTTCTCGGAATTTAATAGATCTATTGGAAGGGGTAAGACAAAATCTACATTGATTTACTATATTTTGTGTATTGATATTTTAGATATTTATAAATTAAATTTACCCATATAATAAGTTTAAGAACCATATAAAGGATGCCAAACTTAAAGTAAATGGGCTAACTCAAAACATAGCTACTAATGAATATATGTTAGTATTTGATAAATTTCATTCTGAAAGAAGTTATAAAAATGGAATATGTGCACACTGTAAATGATATAACACAACGAAAGCTTGGTGTCAGGCATGTGATCCTTATAAAGCAACACAGGGATGGACAAGTGGAAATAAGAATATTGATGATTACATTAAAGAATTTCAACTTAATGCCACAGAATATGATAATGTGATTGAGTGGATTCCTTTCAATAAATTATATAATATTCAAAAAAATGGTGATGAATTTTTAGCAACTTGGTTAGATGGAACACGAATAATTTTTTGGGATCAAAAAGAATACAAGCAATCACGTACGTCATCATTTATAATTAACCTTAAAACATTGCATAGTTCTCGGAATTTAGTAGATCTATTGGAAGAGGTAAGACAAAATCTGCATTGATTTATTATATTTTGTGTATTTTTATTTTATATATTTATAAATTAAATTTACATATATAAGTTTAAGAACCATATTAAGAATACCAAACGTAAGGTATATGGGCTAACTCAAAACACAGCTACTAATGAATATATGTTGGTATTTGATAAATTTCCTTTTGAAAGAAGTTATGGAAATGGAATATGTGCATATTGTAAACGATATAATACGATGAAAGCTTGGTGCCAGACATGTGATCCTTATAAAGCAACACAGAGATGGACAAGTGGAAATAAGAATATTGATGATTGTATTAAAGAATTTCAACTTAATGCCACAGAATATGAGAATGTGATTGAGTGGATTCCCTTTGATAGATTAGATGATGTTCAAAAGAATGGTGATGAATTTTTAGCAACTTGGATAGATGGCATATGAATAATTTACCAAAATAAACATAAGTCATGTATGCCATTATGTATAATTGACCTTAAAGCATTAAGTAATTTTCAGAATTCCATCGACTTGTTGATAGAGATAAGATAAAGTCTAGTAGTTTTATGTACTTATAAATTATATCTTATGTATATTTTTAATAAGTTTAGGGGATATATGAAGGACAGCAATCTTAAAGTATACGGAATAACTCAAAATACAGCAACTAGTGAATATATGTTGGTGATTGATAAGTTTCATTCCAAAAGGAAGATTGTGAATGAAAAATGTGCATACTGTAACCGATATTACACCTCGAAAGATTGGTGTCAGACGTGCGACTCTCAAAAAACAAGTGGAAATAAGGATATTGATGATTGCATTAAAGAATTTCAACTTAATACTATACAATATGAAAATGTGATTGAGTGGATTCCTTTTAATAAATTAAATAATATGCAAAAGAATGGTGATGAATTTTTAGCAATCTGGTTAGATGGAATACGAATAATTTCTGCACTTAAGTATAAAGATTGGAATGATAATGATAAATATACACAATTACGTACGAAACTATATATAATTGACCTTAAAACATTACATAGTTCTCGAAATTTAATGGATTTATTAAAAGAGGTAAGACAAAATCTATATTGATTTATTATATTTTGTGTATTTTATTTTATATATTTATAAATTAAATTTACCATATAATAAGTTTAAGAACCATATAAAGAATACGAAACTTAAAGTATATGGGCTAACTCAAAATAAAGCTACTAAAGAATATATGTTGGTATTTAATCACTCTGAAAGAAGTCAGCAGAATGGAAAATATGCACAATGTAATCGATATAATACAACGAAAGCTTGGTGTCAGACATGTGATCCTTATAATGCAACACAGGGATGGACAAGTGGGAATAAGAATATCGATGATTACATTAG